ACGAAGAATCTTCCGGAGGCAGTAGCATATCTGTTGCTGGCACAGATGCAGTCGCTGATTGGGAGGTGGTTAATATTCAGTCCTCATTTCAGCTGCCTTCAGGTGGAGAGACCACTAGGGGCAGCAGCACTGTTCCAAGGAAAGGATCAGAATTCTTTTCTTTAGGCAGGAGGATTAAAAGCATCGGATCAATGAGAACTGGGAAATATATCTGAGTGCGTGACCAAGATATATGTGGAATTATCTACCATCCTTGTTGAATGTGAGGTTCGTCTCTGCGGAGAGAAGAAAGTGACGCCTCCACGATAAGACACAGGTTAAAACTGCGTATGATCCGTAGACTGTCGAGAAGTGGACCAGCACACTGTATGAATGCTTTTTGACACTAAAATGTTGTGTGGAGAAAGACAAATTGATTGTGAGTGCTGTGTCAGAAAATATAGAATGATCCCAATTTGTTTTCACTCAAACCTCATCTGATGTTTTGAGGCTGACCCTTCTTCAGACACGAAAAGATACATTTATCCCAAAATATTGTTGACCAAATAAGCACAAGTTCCTTCAGACACTTCAATTTTCTTATTAAAGCTGGGGTACCAAACCTTTTCCCCAACCAGGAGCGCAGAAGTAATAATATGCTGTATGCCCTGATGTATACATGTGGTTTCATCGAACTGATATTTCCCCAATGTGGGACGCATAAAGGATTATCTTCTTCTTCTAATAATATGTTCTGTTTGTCCCAACAGAAAGAGAGAGAGTATAATGGCTGAGTGCGGATGGTTGTGACATTTCTGTGACACAAGGCTGCAAGTATTTTGAGAGCGATGAATAGATAGATGGATTGTTATACATGCATCAAGAGTTTCGAGCTTCCGGTTCGAACGCATGGCATTGTGGGTAGTTGGGTCGAAAAGGTGGGCAAACCACGACCGCCGTATTGGATTACTTGTTGCGAACGATTGACCTCACTCTTGTTTCTGGCCCATAGATTATTTTAATAGCTAAAAGATTCACCAATTTCCAAAATTTTGAAGGTAAAGATTTTTTTTTTTACATAAAAGCAATGCCTTATTTTCTTGTGGTTTTAGATGTAATCACAACCGACTGAAGAGCTACTGTACATGTAGCTTATGAGACTTACGAGGATAGAATGCTTTCACACAAGCTTTACAAACTTGCCCAAAGCTGTACAGTTGTAACGCCCCATTTCTTTTCTTACAGTGCAATAACTTATCCATGGGTTACGGGCAAAACGGTTTCAGTGCCATTCTTACAGCCGAGAAGTTTGCACATCGAGACACTCCACTTCCTGAGTTGTTGCCCACTGTTAGGACTGTCAAAAACAACACAATTCCGGTGCCCGTAACCCAGGGGTGTCCAAACCGGTCCAGAAAGGGCCGCTGTGGCTGCAGGTTTTCTATCAGACCCAGCAGGGTCATTTAATTAATCCTCCCATTAATCCATTTATTTTTTTACGATCCTTTTTATATCAAGTGATTTCCTTCTGTTGTGTTAACCATGTTAATCTTGTGGGATTTCATCTTCTGCTTTTTCAGACTGAGGACATTTTATTTTCTATGTAACTGGCGTCACAGTAGAATGGTCCAATCAGAGGCTGATTTGGTCGTTTAAAATGTTGCTAAACATTTTTATGTCAATCTTTCCTTTTGATTTTTTTCACACTATCTCTTCAATCTGTCTGTGTTTGAAATCTTTTTTCCAATCTATGAAAGTAATTTTTGTTTTGAAGTTATAACCTTTTAAAGTCCAGATACTTCAACTGTCACTTTACTGTGAACGCACAAATCTATGTGCGCTATGTGGGATTAATACAATGCACAAATGAAATTAGCACTGCACTTAAGTTGCCTCTGGCCTTACTTAGCCCAATTGAATATACTGAAAATGAGACTATAAAGAAAGTCTACTTTGTAATGGTCTTCTTTATCAAAATAAAGATTTATGAATATATAAATAAGACAAAGCGATGCACAAATCTCCTCCAACTAATGAAAACGCATTTTTGCTGATGACTTTGTACATTTAGTGTCAGAATAATAAAACAAAATCTACCATATGGTGAGGGCGCCCCCTCTGGCCAGGGCTTGACCCTTGTGCTGCAGTGAAATGTGTGAGTGTGTATGCAGAGGCTGATTCACTGAAGATTCCACAGCTGGGAGCTTTTCCAAACTAGGACGCTGTGAGCCTCAAGTCAGAGTGAATATTTAACCCGTCACATCTGCGTGGGGAAACGTGGCTCAGGGCGCGAGCACAACTCCCACAACGTTTACTTTTTAACCTCAAGAGCTTCTTGTCCCTGATGCAGATCTGGTTTAAAACTACAGTATGACCATTGAAGAACAACAACATCTGCATCATGACATGTGCTGTTTTAGTTTGTTATGAGTGAAAAAGTAAAAGTACATTCTGGTAATATTTGTTTGAAGTTCTCTTGATACAAGCTATGGGTCTCACATTATAAATGTTGCTTTCTTTGTTCTTTTCACATATCTGCAAGTGACAGCGCATCCACTAAAGTTCATTTTTACCAACTCATTGGACATTGGTGACAAGGACACATGAGTTTCATCTTTTGACTTCAGATATAGTTTCAAGTCCATAATAATTCATCTGCATTACCGCCAATGTTGTCGTATGAATCAGTTCTTTCATAAAAGCAGAACTTAACACTGGCCCTAATGTATCAAAGACCTTTACAGCAACATATTTGGTGAAATATAATACAATGTATTGGAAGTGAGAGCCCATAGGGGCTTTGGGGGTGTTGTACACTGAATTCAAACTAACACAGACTTCTTTTAACTGCATGAAACACGTTGTCCCTTAATCTCTTAATTACTTTGGTCTGTTTAAGTAGAAATGTAGTTCAATTTAAACTTAGCAATCATTAGAATCTGACACCCGGCAATGACACACGATAGAAAGTAATGGTAATGGTAACATGACTGCGTGTTTCTTGCTGTCTATCTTCTCCATTCATTGTCCATTCTTATACAGTCTAAAGATCAGACTAATAGAGAAGTGCCTTGCATCAATTTTCCATGTGAAAAAGCTGCATGTGTATTATTTAATATCTAAGGGCTTGTAAGACCTGCAGGTACACATTATACATTCAAACATTGATTTGGGCTGTTTTCAAAACAAAACAAAAATACGGAATTAGCTTAGAAGCTACAGAGATAAAGGTGCACATGGTCTGTTCCCATCCCCACCTATATTTGTAGATCATTATAGATTACTAAGAATGGTCTTTGGTGCTTATGTCATGAGCACTTTGAATTACCTTGTGTATGAATTGTGCTATATAAATACACTTGCCTTGCCATACCTTGCCTTGAGTAGATGACATAAATGATCAAAATATAAGAATATTCATTTATTTTAACTTATAAACCTTAAGTTAATGTCTTTGGAGTAAATTGTTCCAAACTGATGAAGTAACTTCTGAGTTTTTTGTGAAGTGGTGTCTTCAGTTCTATACTTCCTGTACATTTGAGCATAGCGTGAATTCCAGATGATAAACTGCCACTTTTCTTCCTGCACGCCGCGGTTTATGCTAAGGGGCGGCTTATTATAAGGTGCGGCTTCATTTTTTATTTGTTTTTTCTCTTTGGTGTCGAACACATTTTGCCAAGTAACAATAGACCAACAGAATGTATGAGCCGTGCACACGTCTCATGCATTCCCCTATGTCTCCTATGTCTTTTTGATTGTCCATATATCAGCTCACTGTTTTGCAGGACACGGCCGTCATCAACATGTCAAACCAGCTGGGATGTTATCCTTAATTAAAGGCTCATGTGAATGTGCTCTTTTCTCACTTCATTTAATTAATGAGATTGTTTGGAGTTAGAAACCTGGCTTCACGTTTGGCATGCTCAACTCTGCGACTGAAACACTACTCGCTCCACTCACACAGCCAACTCTTTGTCACAAAAACGCTATTATTTCAGTTTCTCTTTGACAAATCTGAGGAATGCACTGCTCACATGTAACTTGCTTTGGAACATCTTCATCTTGTTGGAACACCATGTTTATTTTTAACAGCATTATGTCTGAGAGCCTATGAGCATAAAGAACAGGATTATAAATATGCACCTGTTTTATAATTTCATAAATTGCATTTAATCCAACATCTACTGCTGAAAGATGCATTCTCTGACACATTGTTGTCAGCGATGATTTGGGAGAGGATCATAATTTCTTTTTGTGCACGCCAAGCAATAGTTATTATCTGTTGCTTGGAGCCTTTGTATTAATACACACAAAAGGTCAGCAAAAAGCTAAAAAAGTAACTTGTAGAAGGAAGCACACATCGCGCCCAAAGTGTAGTGTTACATAGTACGTTTAACTTGGCCACAATTCTTAACACTATTATTCATCTACAACTTTGTTGCTTCTAAGTAACAGGAATTCACAAGATAGGAAATTTAAATGTATAAGTTATTAAATAAGAATAGATATAAGGCATGCGTATTAAAAGAAATAAAATCTTCATGACCTTTCTTAAAATTACTTCTATATTCAAGTACACAGGAATAGTTACAAACCCTCCACTTGAGAATATGTGTGATTAGATGACATACACCCATATTGTTTTAAAACTGACTTTACTGGAGGCTGAACAGGAGAATGCAGAGGCTCAATTTAGTAAGCCACCAAATGTTCAAGTCCTCCCACATAAAAAGATGAGGGACACCTGTAATTACCATCAAAGGTATAAAGTGTCCCTCGTTTGGAATAACCCACAATAAGTAAAATCCGCAAAGTAGCAGGATGCAAAAAGGTATACAAGAACCTTTAGGAACTACACGTGTTACCCGGAAAATGGCAAATGTCAATTTAGTTGTTGAATTATCCGCTCTGTGAAGACAAATGAAGCTCTTTCTGTTCTTTGTGTGTGTGTCTGTGTGTGTGTTTTTCCGAAATACAGTAAGTTGACCTCATTGTCATTCTATTCTGTCTGTTGAAGCTGGATGGATAGTGCAGCAGGTCTACCATATGATGAAGAGTCTATGGCGATCATCCATTTGAACAACACCACTGTCATGTACCTGAAGGAGGTCACCAAGTTCCTGGCAATGGTTTGCTTCCTGCGCAAAGAAAGCTTTGAGAGGAAAGGTCAGTCCACACCACCTCACCACAGCAGTGCCTAGAGAAAAATATTGCAATATTGGTTCAAAGATTATTCTGAAAAGATGATTGCAAAAAGACCATGTTCTTCACAAACATTCTATACTATTTTGGATTCTAAGCTTATTTTTTCCATTGAGAAAAAGTAAAATGATACGTTGAACTGCAGTGAAATCAATCCATGAATCAAGAAGGATAAAAAAGGTGATTAAACAACATTTGCGAAACACCAAATGTGTGAGAGAGTGAATGTGGGGGGGGGATTCCATCTTGTAGCAACCATTTTTTGGCGGCCAAAAGCCCCACCAAGAGAAGACAGAGAACCAGCCACTATCTCCCATAACTGAGGCCTAGGTATTCCCAAACCATGTGGAAGTAGATCCCAACACTGCACCCATGGCCTAAAGTGCATTTGGGGTCTGACGTGTAGTTCATGGAGAAGAGGCTAGATTTTGTTTAGTCTTATCAAAAAAGTTCAGATAAATGTGCCATACAACTTTAAAAGACAAGATGGTGCTGTTTGAATAAACCCTATGCATGCATCTATATCTGTCACTCAGCCACTTCCTCTGCAGTCAACGGGCACTCGCTTAGAGATACTGGAGCTCGAAGTAAAGCCGCTGCTTCTCCACATTGAGAGGAGCCAGTTGAGGTGGCTGGGGTTTCTGTTTCGGATGCCTCCTGGACATTACCCTGGGGAGGTATTCTGGACAAATAGCCTCGGGATTGCCCCAGATGAGCTGGAGGAAGTGTGTGAACAAGGAAGTCTGGGTGTTTTTGCTCAGACTGCTGGTCCGGTGTCTCGGCAATGGATAAAGCGTAAGAAGATGGATGGATGATGAATTCAAGATTAACTTGACTCCCTCTCTTGCATGCCAATGGGATCGCCTTTTGAACTCTACAACATGTCTCCAGTTTCCCCAAAATACTAGGTTATGTCAATTTCTTGCGGGTATTAGTACAAAAGGCTTTCATCTGCTTGCTCCATCGATTGGGTCATAGTTGGTGCTCTCATTCATAAGACTCCCTCGAGCTGAAATCTGTGTTATTTTGTAAACCACTGAAAATGTATATTGCGTGGTAAGAAAATAGCTCAGTGGCAAACAGCACATGTTGGAAAGTAAAGCTTTGCAGTGTTGTAAGAAGAAAAAGAAAAGCATGTGCAGTCTTGTAGAAGCCTCGAAGGAAATTAAGAGTAAGGCCGCAGGGTTTTGTGGATCCTTCCCCCAATCCGGACTTCCATGTTGTGTGAACTCGAAAGTGTAAATTGGCTCTAAGTGAGAATGAAGTGTGGCTTTTTGAACAAGGCAGAAAAGAAATACTAAAGCCAGGTTTAACCTTGAATGTTTATGGAAAGTTGTACAACACAATTGTTTTTGCTAAAACGAAATCCAATGTGTCACGATGAACATGTGAAAGGAGATGGAGGTGATGCTGCAGAGGTCACATGAACTTTTCCCCTGCTTTGCCAGTTTGAAGAGTTTTTGTCCATGTGTTTGGTGCTGGTTGGAGATAACTGATGGCCGTCTGACTTCATTGGGTTTTGTGCAGAGAAACTCTGGAGGGCTATAGTTCAATGTAAATACAAAGTGGTATAAAAGATGTTTTCTAGCTCCTGAGAGAACAGACTGATAATTTATCTGCTAAACTCGCATTGCAAAGGCGTAGGTTTGGTTTCAGCTTTGGTGGGGACACATTGTTTTTTTCAATATTCACGTCCTGTCTGGGAATCAAACTCCGGCCGCAAAATTGGTGCCCAATCCTAACCACTGGACTATAGGCAAATGCATGAGGCACAGCGATGACACATACTTTTTTGGCGCTAAACCTTGGCACACTTTTCTCTTGTCTAATAAAATTTTTACGACACACAGAGAAAATATGACACCTTTCTTGACATTGGCTACATGGCTTCACTGATTGCTTTTCAGAAAGCAGCGCCAGTCTGACTTTACTAAACAGTAGCTTGATACTGGCAAAGACAGCCAATCACTGCAGAGATGAACGGGTTGCGTGGCGCTGCTTCCCTGGAAGGGAGGAGGAGGCGCGACGTAGACTGGAGGCAGTGGACCAGGTCATCTTACCTTGTATTTGGTGAGGACATTATCGTCCTCAATATTGGTGGGGACATGTCCCCATGGCCCCCACTCCCTCATGTCATGGCATTGCCACCAATTATTTTAGGGCAGTCAACTAGTACATTTTAAGTTTTGTCACGCACATCACACAGGGGTAATTATGCTGACTGAATGATTTGTGAGAAAGATAAGATAAGATAGACTTTATTGATCTCACACAGGAAATTATTGAATTTCAGAAAGTAATGCATTGTTCATTATAGTATGACAATATGTCATACAATTTGGCTGTCTCTTTAAGGCTGTTGGTGTTCTAGAATTTCACTGGGTCTTAAAATCCTAAACAATTATGATTGTCAAAATATTATCACAATTGTTTGTATTGTTTATTAGTTGTTTCAGACCTAATGCAATGATACCGGTAGCGTAATAAAACATCTTGATTGTCAATTAACCCTACGTGTATGTGAAGCAGTGTTGAATTAAACTATTATCTTGTTCACACCTCGTTGGTTATTCCTGATCAAAAAGTTAAAATTTTCTTGTCTTAAGGTAAAATGTCTAAAAACATTCCATCCATCCATCCATTGTCTACCCCTTAATCTATTTCTGGGTCAGGGGGGTGGCAGTCAGAGTTGCACCCAAGTCACATAGCACCAGCCCCTCACTGATCCTCCTGCAGGTGGTGAGTCCACAGGAGGATGTCTGCTCTGTCAGTGTGAGCATAGCCTTGATCTTCCAGCGGGGGCTTTGGGCAAAGTGGGGTTAAGTGTCTTGCCCAAGGACACAATGACATCAGACATCAGTGGGACTCGGTGGAGAAGGTGTCGACCTTCAGGCCTAAAGGCCATTGCTCTACTAACTGAGCTACTGTCGCCCTAAACATTCCATTATTCTTATATTCAGTATCTCACAATAAGCTGTTATTTCACCAACATTCCTCTTGTTTTGCATCTCATCTACCTCACTATTCACCTCACACGTCCTCAAATCTGCATCAAACTGCTGCTGGCGAACCATTAGCTTGATTTTGCACACATTTAGTTGAGTGCTGATTTTATCGCACAAAGGCACATTTCACCAGTGGCTTTCCCCCTCCACCCCCTTCCCCCCTGCCATCCGCCTATTTTATTCGCCCCATTTCCTGCTGAAAGTCTACCATTCCCGTTTATATTCAGTTTTGACACTACTCCATTGCAATAATTTGTCTTTACACAAATTAAAGAGTTATGATTTCAAGTAATAAACCAGCACATGTGTAGGTGCTGTAACATGCCGGCAGGGAAGTGGAGAACACCTCCAAAGGTTTTAGAGGATGAGCAGAACTTACAGACTGACAAGTTGGTAGTAGCGAACCAATCAGACATTGTGGTGATGGACAAAGGGCAGAGGAAAGCCGGTGGTGGTGGTTGTGGCAATTCCAAACAATGGTAGCACCAGAAAAAAAACAGCTTGAGGTTTCTCTTGCTTTATGGTACAGATGGTTGGCCCTGGACTCAGCAATAAAAGCAATGATAATGTGTTGTTCTTATTAAACATGTTTAAGATCATTATAAAGTGATTTAAGAAAGACTGGAACTGAAAGAAAGTATGTCACCACAACAATACTAACAAATTATATCTCTATATATCATATAAATGTCTTTTATCACCAAGGCCAGCAATATATATCTAAGTCATCCATGTAATTCATGCCATCATCTCCATCTTTGTGCTAAATCCCCTTGTGCAGCCTTGGGTTTATGGTTAAACGTGTTACCTTCAAACAAAGGTGTGTGTGTACATGTGATAGAGTGATAGAGCGATAGAGCAGGTGGGTCATCTGCACAGAACAGTGGGAGATTCACCGTCACTCAAGGGCCCTGCTGTACTTTGTGAATGATAAGTGAAGGCCGGATGTACTGTATGTGCTTCTCTGTAATAAAGAACATGAAGAAAGTTAGAAAGAGATGTATAACGGAATAAGTGAACGAGGGTGAAAAGAGGTTAAACTGTACACTGAGTATACACTTGTTTTTGGCACAATTACAAACAATATATAAAATATATAATAATTCTTGTGCTTGCACAAGTATAACAAGTAGTATTCTTGTTTTTTTTGTAAATAATTGTATATGTCATGAATGTTTTGGATTGTCTACAAATGGTATAAAACAATATGATAATTGACAAATTGTGAGGGTCATAACCAAATAGGTGGCACACATGTCCTCGCTGGTCATACCACTATTGTATGTATTAAAAATGACAGCCTCTTCAAAGAAGGAAAACATTTCATGAACAAATACTGGTCTTTTTTTCTATTTTCAATTCTGTATGAAATCTGGCAATATCAAAGTAATTTTTTTCCTATATACTGTATCTATGATTATACATTCTCATATTGCAGCCTGTCAGGAAGGCCTTTCAGACTAACATGAAAGAAATCTATTACAAACACAAATTGTAGAAGAAATGATCAAACATGTTTCAAAGAAAGCAGGACTTTAGCTCTCATTTTACTTTGACATATGTGGATATTGAAATGGAAAGACGTGTGCAGATGAAATTCCAAGGTCTCCTCTGTTGAAAAGCATTTTCAGATGCATCGTGCCCCTGACAATTTCCTGCACTATTTCCTCTGTGATTAGTTTTCCATATGTTGTGTGAGAAAGTGAAACGCTGGAGGATGGATGACAATGAGTAAACACAACAACAGGTGAAATTACACTCTTTAAGATGTGTGTTTTTTTACAAACACAACCTGTATCTGATTCCATGTAAAATATATATTATATAACATTCTGCATCAGGATTAAGGAATATAATATATATATATATATATATATATATATATATATATATATATATATATATATATATATATATATATATATATATATGACAGGAAAATATTTCAACATATTTTAC